GTTCTCAACACCTTGGGGTTTGGCCTTTCTCCTTTAAGGTACAAAAGGTTAAAGGGTCCCGTTCCATTACATGATGATTTAAGATTTAAAAATCACCATTATTAAAACCACCATTATTAATGACAATCTGCTCTAACTGCACACATGCACAGAAGTACATGTACAATGTATTAGTGATCTTTAAGCCTACTGTAAGGTGACATGTACTGGAGTATTTTTAAAAGACATGGCTCCCTTCTACAAAGTTGTGCCCCTCATTCACAAAGCCTCCCTCAAGTGGAACTTTGTATGGCGTCACATAATAATAATAATTATTAATGTGTATGTTCAGTTATATTTTATATGCACTGTCAAAGTGGCATTTGTATTGCCAAATTTAAAACCACCAATTTTATTTTTACAGCCAAATATCCAAAATAAAGTGCTCCCAAATTAAAGCATTATACAATATGGGTGTCTTTGTCAGAGTTTTATTTGAAATAAGTTGAATCATGTATTGTTTACAGGTTATTTCTTATATTATACTTGAAGAAGCTGAATATAAACTAAGAGATGCTATCAGTAGCAAAGAGAAAGTATGTCATACCACCAAACTGTGCAATACAGTCTTAATTGTATGTATAGGAAAGAATTGATTTGAAACAAGAAATATCAATGGCTCAGGCAACTGAGGTTAGCTACTACACTATTATTGTCATAATCATTCTAGCTTCATTTAAATGATTGTAGCCATCATCATTAAAGTAAGTGAACTATGTAACCTTGACAGTTTTAGATTGTAGTAACAAATCAGGCTGGAAAAGTACTTGTAATTGCCTCTCAAATTGAATTTTTACTAAAATGCTTATACTGTACTCGCCCCAATTAACGCAGTCTCCTAATTATTGCACCTGGTCAAGATAATTATTTTTGAATGCTGCATTGTAATTACAAGGGGGTGTCACTTGCATCTAGCCTGTAGTTACACTTGCGACTGCGATCAAATCAAAATCAAGACATCGAAGGGACAATCAGAATGTGATAAAGGGATCAAGACAGCTGTAGCAGGCATCAAGATATGTATATTTTCTGTATATTTTTGACTATGCAGATCTATGAATTTTTAATTAGCTGGCACCCACATGAGATCATCAAAATCAAGCATCAATGGAAATCAAGCCTGTAGATCAAGGTGTCAAAGGTCTTTTTATGCAGATCAAAGCTTTTAATCGCGGTTGCAAGTGTAACTACAGGCTATATGCAAGTGACACCCCCTTGAATTAGAAAGTCCCATTGTTTACAAGTGTATTGCACTAAACAAGCACCTTCTGGAGCATTTCATAATTGTTCCTATCTAAACAATGCACCACCTGAGACATGTAATTATTTATCAAGAGGTGTGTTAATTGGGGCAAGATGGTAACACTTCAAAAAGCATTTGAAAACAGCTGCTCTGGACATAGAGTTCTTCTCATTTAAATCAGTTATTATGACACTATAATTCATTGTGTGTCTAGTTTACACTGACAGCAATGGTAGCAGTCTTTTTTACAACCGGGGGCATAGCCCCCAGGTCGTCACCCATGTGCGTCATGCAATCTATAATTGATTGTATGTCAACACTTACATTTTTCTTATACACGTTGTATTGGAGAAGTACGGCCTTAGCAACCACCCGCCCACACTCCTTTATGTGGTGGGTATTGCCACAGTAAACAAAATGGCGGCTTACACATGTAACAAACTTATGTGCTTTCCTTTCTAACAGCAAAAGAACATAGAGATAGTGTCTAAAGACTTTTCCAGAAGCATCAGAAGGTAGAAAGAACCTCTATAAGTTTTAATAAGAACCCCGGGCAGCTGTACATGCAAGGTGGTGAACAATTATAGGAATATTTTTACACTCTTACGCTTGTTTCTTTATGGGCAAATGTAGAGCTATAAACTTCCAGAAGCTTTAGAGGGATTAAACTTCCACGAATCCACCCAAAAATCATTTTTGTGAATTTAATTTTTTAAAATTTAATTTAATTTAATCAGTAGAGTTTTACAGGACAAAAACAGTAGACAAAACTGACAAAATGAAATGACACAAAATAAAAGGAGATTGACATGTAGGGAGACAAAAACTGGTCTAGCCCCCAGAAAGACAAACAACAAAAGAATTAATAAATATAAACATATAAACAAAAATCAACAAAAGAGAAAAACTATTATGAGCTTGAGTGGATCATGAGAGATTGATGGATGAAGGGAGTTTAGAGCAAACGATACAGGGACACATGACATGAAAAGTGTGATGATTAGTAGAATCAAAATTTGTATGAAAGTGTGAGGTAAAGAAGTGATTTAGTTCCTTTTTAATTACAGTAAATGATTTTTTTAAACCTATAGTTGGGAGGTAGTCCCATAAATGAGGAAAACGAATGAAAAAAAGATGGTGAGAGGAGCATGTAAATCAAAGCATTCTGCCATCTTCTACCATTATATTTAGACTTTAATTTGCTGATTCTTTTCAAAATCTGAAAACCATGAAAACAGCAAAAGTTAAGTCCCTTTAAGGTTTCCACAGTATTTTCAATTCTGGCCAAGCCGCTATAATCTGGCTCTACCTACCTATGGCCTTGTTGCACTATTCGTGTTTTTGGTTGTCTGTTTTGTCATTATTGCCTTGCACTATATCCATTAATTCTTGATGTTATAAGTTGATCAGAAATTTTCATTATTAGGAGGAATCATTGTCTGATCAAAGTAATACTGAATCAAGTAAAGAAGTTGAGGTATATCTCACAAGTTTGTATTAATTATAATAATTATTAATAGGAAGAGCCACTTTATGAAGAGTTGACTGTATTGAGGTCTCAGTTTAATGAGATGCAAAAAGAAAACAAAGAATTGTCAGACAAATTATCAACAATGAATGTTGATTATTTGAGATCTCTTCATAGTAATGATTCAGGTTAGAGTAGTTTTATTAATTAATATATACTATATAATGATTAATTAAAGCTGCTAGCAAAGTGAGAAGAGGAATGTCTTTTGAAATTGATGACTGCAAATTTCATCTTGAAGCAATGACAAGTCCAGACTATCAGCCATTAGTAGATGATAAAAGAATAATAGAGAAATTGCAAGAAAGAATAACATTAATGAATATGGAACTAATTACTGAAAGAGAACACAATGAGAAGATTAAAAAAGATATTAAAGGTTTTATTGATGATGTGTGTCATCATTTGATTGTTGATATTTGATTAGATTTGACAGAAGTTAAAGATAAAGAGACTAGTGATGAAGAGAATAGTCTGAATGATGAAATGGAGGATCAAATATGTTCAGTAAGTGAAGTCAAACAATGATGTATGTAGGTGCTCTTTTTAATTAGTTCAAATTATATTGTAATCATCCTGTTACTGGTAACTTTAAGGAGTCAACACTTAAAGTACATAAAGATGAATTACTACCCACAGTACTGGATAAAGCTTATGAGGTTTATTTTTTTGACTGATCTATATCTTTTGTTTTTGTTTTACTCCTCATCTAGTTAATGGAATTAGCTCCTCATATTCCTATTGAGAGATGTCGTTTAGTTAAATATAATTATGAGAATGATTTAATGGAACAGTCCTTTGATCTTGATGAGGTATAATTAATTTTTTTGTATCCTGTTGTTATTGTTATTTTTAGTTTCAGCATCAAACTATTGGACAGATTGCTGGTGGGACTAGGCTTTATTATCCTTTTGAATTATTCATAGAAACTCGTGAACAAAATGAAATTTTTGATAAATATCATAATGGAGGTGGGTGTGGTTTGTTACCATGACAATATCTCTAATTACATTTACTTGTGTTTGATGGTGTATAGCTAATAATGTAAAGATATCAGTGGTTAATGTGTCAACTCGTAAAGTAGAACCAGAAGAACCATTGAGAGTGGAAGAAGGTTGGACTGTTGGAGAATTAAAACAACATATAGGAGAAGTAACGAGGAGTTATACTGTCATTAATATTGTCCTTCCCAGGCTCCCTCCAGTCAGTGATCTGGTCCATTTCTTTCTCTAGGTATATAATCTCAATTCATCATGCATGAGACTAGTAATGAAGAATTTCAAGTATGGTGATGTTACTGATATTAGTGATGTAGGAAGTACTTTAGAGGAGATATTCAGAAAGTCAACTTACCTAGACAGACAAGTACTAGCTTGCATTATTACTGTAATAGAATATATTAATAAAAGTTTTGTTTTGTGCAAAAATAGCATTACTTTTATATTTGATGATTTATAGCTAGTCAGCCATGTGTTTTGCCGTATGCAAATGATTCGAAACAAAAATTACAAAATGGCATATTCAAATAATTTTCCTGTAAATGCTAATTGAATCCACCAATATTAATTTGCTACCAATATTTTATGCTATAGCTATCATCAACCTATCATGATTTAGAATTGTTTTCTCACTTTCTTTTATTTGTACTCCTTTTCTCTTCTCTTTATTGTCTTTACACACACACATACACACACACTGTTTCCTTTCAGTTAGTGTATGTATCATCAGATCCTGAAGATTATCAAAAAGAATACAAAGATAGTTTGATGTACAAATATGTTGGTCTTCCTGTCAACCCAATACTACTGAGCATTACAATACCTCCTGGACCTGAAGCCACACCCACTACAACTAATAGAAGAAAAGGAAGAGTACCAGTAATAATGAAAATTATATCAACCGAAAATAAAGGAAAAGAAAGAAGTGAAATAAATATTAACTTGCAATTTTGTGCTAACATGCAAGCAAAGTTTAATGTGCTGTAGTGCACTCTTTTTTTAAGGGCTATATTTCGCAAATTTTGCAAATTTTTCCTGAAAACATAAATATTGTGGTCTCAAATAATAAATCAATTAATTGCAAGGGGGTGTGTTAAGATGTTATATGGGATATGTTAAAGTAAAGGTGGTGTTTTTGGACTATATAGTTTCTGACAGTACAGTTGATATTCTTTCGCTTTTTCCAAACTCTGCTGGTCCTCTGTCAAATCATGTACCTCAGAGAGCAATTGTGTCAGTTAAAGGGTGTGAGGGAGGTATGATTTGTGAAATTTTCTTTCGTTAACTTGAAGTTTATAGCCCTTGAAAAAAGAGTGTCCTACAGTATGTGGAATTTAATTTTGCTGGTATAAGTGTGAGCTCTTATATAAATGATTTAAATTGTGCATTTTTGTAATAAACAGCAATGGCAAAATTAAATTCCAGCAATTGTGTTATAGCTATACAGTATGAATTACATGTATAATAAAAAGATTTATTATTCAATACAGGGATACAGGTAGAAGTTAATAGCATAATAACATTAGCTCAATTGAAGGAGGAGCTAGTTCCACTGATTGGTGTACCGCCTACTGGTTTTAGAGTGTATGAAATCAGAGATAATAATAAAGAACATGAGCTGGAGAGACTGGATGAGATATTAAAATCTGGATCAAAGGTACATGTATGTGTGTTATTTTGATTAACTTCATAATTGTTTATACTACTAGTTGATAATAAGACTGGGTAGAGCATCTAGAAGAGGAGAGTACAGAATTAAATTATATTTATTACAAGTTAACAATACAGAGGTACTGTATAAGAATATTTCATTATTATAATTTGTATTGATTTTTTGTTTTTAGTTTTGTAATTTTATGATGGAGTCTATTGTTGCTAAGGCTAAACCAGTGAGAGAATTTAAGAAACAAATTATTGAAGAAGCAAAAGTACAAGGAATTGACTGTGTCCTTGAATTAGACAAGTAAATATGATCGTATATGCCATATATTTTGTGATTTTTGTGTTTTGCAAAAATTTGGGAAGTTAAAATTCACAAAATAGCGTGATGTTGTAGTAGGTGTCGTAATTGCATTAAAATCGTGAAAATTTTATTTGCAAACACGAAAATGCAACCAAATTGCAAAATTTTACACCTACAAACAATATGGTATACATCATGTGACTATCATGTGACTTATTGTGTAGAATGAGATTACGTAAGAAGAGAGGAGTGTTGCCTCGTTCAGCATATCTTGATGGTGACTAGATTAATACTAGTAATGAAATGTATGTGGAACAATTGAAAGGTCAGTATATCTGCTGTATGTGTTAGTATTAATGTATATAGTGTATTATTATAATTGTTATTAATGTGGGTGGATATTCCTGAGTTCAGTCTTTGTCTTTATCATAGTTGTCCTTTTGTTATAAAAACTGTTGTTGATCTTTACTTTTGTAACATATCTCAGTTATATTTTCAGTGTAATGTACTGTATGTACTAGATGCATTTTATAGTAAGTTTATGTTAGTGTATCATTTTATTAGGACCAGAGAAGCATGAAGCACAGATACAGGTGTATGTTATAAGATGGCGTCCATCACAATGTTCAGTTGATCCAATAGAAGAAATTATACTGGATAATGATGATCCTAAACATGCTATTGAAAAGGTATTATTTATAATAAGGAACATGTGTCAGTATCACATTATTATTGTTTTTACAGCTTTCAGAGTTAAGTGGAGTTCCTGTTGAGTATATCTCTTATACACAGGTTAATCATTAAAACATTTTAAAGATACTCTCTCTCTCTCTTTGACTCTATTAGGGAAGATTATTTCCAGTTCAGATATCATGTCTTGATATTGAGAATAAGTTAGAATGGTACATCACTTCAGACAGACTATACTCATTAGGACTATATGGTGATGGAGATGTCATATATTACAAGTACTAATGAACACACACACATTATGTATACACACACACTTACATGCACCTCTTACTGTTTATAATTATTTAGAGACAATAGAGAGAGAATGAAAGAGTTAACAGATAAAGAGAGATCAGAAATACAAGAGGCAGAGGAAGCAAGGTCAGTAAACCTCATGTTTCATCATGTACATGTACTATCAGTTAATTAAATTCCTTACTTGTATTCATATATTATTGTTGTAGGTTGAAGAGGATTAAGGAATTTATCGAAGCATGGATATAGACATGGATATTGGCATTAGGACTGACTGAAATGGATCGGCTTAATTTTAAGTGTCATACTAACTGTTATTTTTGTAGTTGCAACTCTACTGCCATCTAATAATGAATACAGTCATAACTCATAATGCAGTCCCTCTATCACAGATGTGTCTGCTTAGTGCAGGACTATTAGAAGCAATGGTTCTAACTACAGGTGATCACTTGTGTCCAGCTCCTACTACTACATGTACTCTTAGGATTGTGTGTTGCTTCTGGTTTCTTGGGCCTTTCAGCTAGACCAATTTTTGTGTTACTAGTGTCCATCTT